AAAAGTAAACTATTTTACCCAATAAAGAGAAGCAATTATTGCAATTTTGGGAGAAGAGTGCGTATGCAGAGAGACAGTGCCAAATAGCAGACATTTTGTAAATGCATATTGTAGCTTACCTTGCCGTAACCGTTTTGCATTTCTATACCTGTGATTTTGAATTCATTTCTTGAGGATGTTTTACTTAGTTTTACTTTCTCTCAGGTATTAGTGAGATATTAAAAAAGAGAGGAAAATTATGGAACAAAATTAAATTTAAGTATACATTGCATTTTATGCTTTTACAGAATGTTTCAGGTTTCAGACTATCATTTGGTATCTGTAGTCTTCAAAAGGACTGCCTGAAAACTTTACTGAATCCACCTGAAACTGGATTTAAACTAATGATTCAGAGTGTTGAAATTAATGATTTAGACAAAAAGAAAGATCCTGAGATAAGGGTTAGCACTTGTCAGTATTCACTGAGAGGACTTAGTCACGAAAATGGAAACTTATTTTATTGCAGAGGTCACCAAATCTGTCTATGGATGTACATTTTTAGAGCTAAAGACTCTGGCTTATGTACTCAGTGAAGGTAGGGGATGGAGATCCATGCTGCAGCAGAGATGTGAGGGCTATTGAGTTAGAAACTATGGCAATGCCTGGGAATGGTCAGGTAGGAATTAGGAATTAGGAATTTTCTCCCAGAAAAAAGGTGGCGGGACCATTAGCCCGACTCAAGTGCTTCTGCACTAATGCACACAGCATGGGCAACAAACAGGAGGAGCTGGAAGCCATTGTACCGCAGGATAACTATGATGTAGTCACCATCATGGAAACGTGGTGGGATGACTTGCACGACTGGAGTGCTGCAATGGATGGCTATAAACTCTTCAGAAGGGATAGGCAAGGAAGGACAGGCGGTGGGGTGGCCATGTATGTTAGGGAGTGCTATGAATGTCTAGAACTTAATGATGGTGACAATAGGATTGACTGTCTATGGGTAAGAATCAGGGGGGGGCCAACAAGGCAGACTTCGTAGTAGGAGTCTGTTATAGACCGCCCAACTAGGGTGAAGAGGCAGATGAAATATTCTGCAAACAGCTGAGAGAAGTCTCAAGGTTGCGAGCTCTTCTCCTTGTGGGGGACTTCAACTTACCTGATGTCTGCTGGGAATACAATACAGCTGAGAGGGAACAATCAAGGAGGTTCCTGGAGTGTGTTGAGGATGACTTCCTGATACAGCTGGTGAGGGAGACAACTAGGGAAGGTGCCCTGCTGGACCTGTTGTTTATAAATAGAGAAGGACTTGTGGGTGATGTGATGGTTGGAGGCCATCTTGGGCATAATGATCATGAAATGATCGAGTTTTCAATTCTTGAAGAAGCAAGGAGAGGGGTCAGCAGAACTGCCACCTTGGACTTCTGGAGGGTGGACTTTGGTCTTTTCAGGAGCCTGATTGACAGAGTCCCTTGGGAGGCAGACCTCAAGGGGAAAGGAGTCCAGGAAGGCTGGACGTTTTTCAAGAAGGAAGTCTTAAAGGAGCAGGAGCAGGCCATCCCCGTGTGCTGAAAAATGAACCATAGGGGAAAAAAACAAGCCTGGCTGAACAGAGAGTGATGGTTGCAACTCAGGGAAAAAAGGAGAATTTATGGCCTTTGGAAGAAAGGGCAGGCCACTCATGAGGACTATAAAGATGTTGTGTGGCTATGTAGGGAGAAAATTAGAAGGGCCAAAGCCTACCTAGAACTAAATCTGGCTTCTGATGTTAAGGACAATAAAAAATATTTCTATGAATACATTAGCAATAAAAGGAGGACTAAGGAGAATCCTTAGTTAGATGGGGTGGAAACATAGTGACCAAGGAGGAGGAAAATGCTGAGGTATTTAATGCCTTCTTTGCCCCAGTCTTTAATGGTAAGACCAGTTGTTCCCTGAGTACCCAGACCCCTGAGCTAGAAGACAGGGATGGGGAGCAGAATGAAGCCCCTGTAATCCAAGGGGAAATGGTGAGTGACCTGCTACAGCACTTAGACACACACACAAGTCTATGGGGCTGGATGGGATCCACCCGAGGGTACTGAGGGAGCTGGCAGAAGTGCTTGCCAAGCCACTTTCCATTATTTATCCACAGTCCTGGCTAACCAGGGAGGTCCCAGTTGACTGGAGGTTAGCAAATGTGAAGCCCATCGACAAGAAGGGCAGGAAGGAGTATCTAGGGAACTACAGGCCGGTCAGTCTGACCTCAGTGCCGGGAAAGGTTATGGAGCAGATAATTTTGAGTGCCATTATGCGTCACATGCAGGACAACCAGGCGATCAGGCCCAGTCAGCATGGGTTCATGAAAAGCAGGTCCTGCTTGACCAACCTGATCTCCTTCTATGACAAGGTGACCCGCTTAGTGGATGAAGGAAAGGCTGTGGATGCTGTTTCCCTGGACTTCAGTAAAGCCTTTGACACTGCTTCCCACAGCATTCTCCTGGAGAAACTGGCTGCTTATGGCTTGGATGGGTGTACTCTTCACCAGGTAAAAAACTGGCTGGATGGTCATGCCCAGAGAGTGGTGGTGAATGGAGTTAAATTCAGTTGGCGGCCAGTCACAAGTGGTGTTCCCTGGGGCTCAGTATTGGGGCTGGTTCCCTTTAATATCTTTATCAATGACCTGGATGAGGGGATCGAGTGCACCCTCAGTACATTCGCAGATGATGCTAAGCTAGGCAGGCGTGTTGATCTGCTTGAGGGTAGGATGGCTCTGCAGAGGGATCTGGACAGGCTGGATCGATGGGCCAAGTGCCGGGTCCTACACTTAGGTCACAGCAACCCCATGCAACACAACAGGCTTGGGGAAGAGTGGCTGGAAAGCTGCCTGGCAGAAAAGGACCTGGGGGTGTTGGTAGACAGCTGGGTGAATATGAGCCAGCAGTGTGCCCAGGTGGCCAAGAAGAATATCTCCAGGGAGGGGGGAGGGAGAATCTCTGTGGGCAACCTGTGGAAGTGCTCGGTCACCGTTACAGTAAAAAAGTGGTTCCTGATGTTCAGGAGGAACCTTCTGTGTTTCCGTTTGTGCCCATTTCTTCTGGTCCAGTCCCTGGGCACCACTGGAAAGACTCTGGCTCTATCCTCTTTCCACCCTGCCTTCAGATATTTCTACACACTGATGAGATCCCCCTGAGCCTTCTCTTTTCTAGGCTGAACAGTCTCAGCTCTCTCCGCCTCTCCTTTTCTAGAG